AGAACGGTAAAGAAGTAGAGAAATTCTGATGGTACATAATTTTTGTCACAAAATAAATCCAGAAGACTCACGTGGGGTGGGTCCCATGTGAGTTTTATATTGAAAAAATATAACCACCCACCTTATGAACAGTGTGCTATCAGTATGTTGTCTGTAAAATTATTTTTTGTACTAGTGTGTGTTGGGCTATTTTTAACTACATGACCTTAAATATGAATCTTGATTAAATGAGGCATAACTTTTAAAATTGAAAAATTCAGAGATTTTGTCTAATGGTAGATTGTATTTAATGGGGAAAAACAATAGAAATTCACAATATAAATAGATATTGACTAACTAGGACGGTGGCTTCGATCAAAATTTCTCTCGCATACATTATTAATTATAAGAATTAATTCTTAAGTACAGGGATTAATTTCACAGGGACTTGTCAAGTCCCTCGCTGTAGTAGGCGGGCCCCACATGTAATAAAAAAAATTGCGACGGGTCCTACTGTGTGTGTATCCTGAGAGGGACTTGAAACAGGTCCCTGTACTTCAATCAGGATTATGATTATAACTTACTACGTATATGATAACCAGATTTTTACATTGATAAAAAATCATAATGGAACAAAGCTATTGAGACATCCGAGATAATTCATCTTATTTGAAGTGTGACCTCGAAGAGTCCTACATGATAGCAATTTTAAAAGTAACTAATATTTATAATTAAGCCGTGTGTTAATGAATAATATGATTGTACTTTTGTTCATAACGTCATCGATATTTGAGTGTTTTCACCATTAAATGGCGTTCATTAGTCTGAAACAAATAGCAGAACTATGATTTTCTTCTGGCAGGGAAATAGTTTGGCAAATTAATTAAAAATGCACGTTGACAATTACGTGTGCCCCATAAATAATTTCATTCTATGGTTTTGAAAGAATATCATATTATACTGTAGTATATTGTCATTTTCTTCCATTTATCAGAAATTGTGATTTACGTAAGTCAATCAAATATCGACATCTTACTTAAATTTCGATTGGATTTCTCACCTTTTCTCCTCTACCGAATGCATTTTTGTGATGCTGTTGTTGATAAGAGTTGAATAAATTAACATTATAAAACTCATCATCGATGTCAGTGTGTGACAAAACGTGTGTAGCGTGTTATTTTAAAAAATACATTTACAAAATTAAGGAAAATTTTACAACATAAAACGTCTATGTCAAAATGACTTTTTGACGTTTTGAAAACACTAAAAATAAGGATAATGAACTTAAAAATTTTCCAAATTAAAATAACTAATAAAATCACATAAAACCTATCCATATACAAATAAAAACGGAAATACTCATCTCTCTCTCTCTCATCCCAAGCTCCTCCAAGAACTATAGTGGAAAATCCATCTCTTTGATACTATCTCTTAATCTTACAATAGTTTTTTTTTTTTTTTTAATCAACTTTAAAATTTATATATATATATTTTTATCATATATTAGCATTAAATTGATGAGTAATGCCGTTTGTACCCGGGCGTTTACATGCCCGGTCACCCTGCCCTACCTCCCCCCTCACATGGGGCGAGGTCTCACGTCTGACCCCCCATGTGAAGGGGGTGGTGGGGCCAGGTAACCGAGCGTGTAAACACCCACGCCCGGTTACGAATAACGTGATCCTAAATTGATATATTTTACTAAATAATCAAATTAATTGAAAAAAATGTCATAAGACTATTATCTACATATATAAGAAAATACATTAGTATGCCATGACAGTTGTAAATGAATAGAGAATCATCACACTTCATATTTTGGTTGGTTGTTGTGGCAGTAAAAACAACTGATTGTTTTTTGGCAACACGCTTGAAAATGAAAATGAATATAATGAGCTTTTAAGTTGGAGAAAACTTTACAAAATCTTGAAAAATCAAACCGATTTCAAGGCACATTACAATGTTTTTTCCTTAAAACTTTAGTTACCTCTATTACGATATTATGTACTAAGTGTTAAGGAAATATATATTCACGATAAAATGGAAAAATATTTATTATCCGCATTTGTTGCACGAATGAAGATAACCACCAACTCAAAGAATAGATGTCTTGTATAAGAGATTGACTGAATTCTGTCTCTATTGATTGACATATTTAATAAGATCGATAATTGAGAAAGACTATGAATATAAGAAAATCAATTGGGAAGAAGAATGTGGCTTATCACCAATGCAATGTGTATTTTCTTTCATTATTCGATGAAGAAAACCACTAATATATTTATAGATTTGGGTGACATTCCAAATTGAATTAGAAACTCAAATAAATAAAATAAAATCTCAAAAATAGGAGAAAAAGGCAGAAACTGTTGTGTTAATTTTGGCCTCCTTGCATAAGCTGTAATTTCAGAGAAAACCTAACAATTAACTTTGATTGAGGAAAGCCTATACAGTTTAGCACGCAAATTAGGTCACATGACCCAAAATTTTCGATTATATATTTTATTGGTATTTTCTTGTGTAAACTTAAAATTCCATCGCTGTTTAGATCTCTATTGATATCGTAAGATGGTCCAAGGGAAAAGTCTATATTGAGTACATTCTTTGACTCGATAAACATCATTATAAATGAGCTTTTTTAAACGTTGTCAGTCTATAGAATATTTGATTTGAAAAAGAATAGTTTAATGCAATTCCATTAGGATTATAATTCAAGTCCAGATGGCGTTAGATGATAAATTGAATGAAATGTGAAATTAAATGACTTATTTAATTCCACTTATCATTTAATGTCACATTAACGCTAATCATTACTCTTTGAAAAACATGTACAATTAAATTTTTAATGGATATTCACATCAATGGCATTAAATATATTTCTAATCCTTCAAGAAATTGAATCGGCCTAATACAATCTTGAACGAACATGTAATTGAATCCGGGCCCTCTTTGACCCACATGCTTTTCAAAAAAATATTCTTAAACATTAATTTGACATCATTTCAATTACACGTTTTTTAATAAAATAATATTACACGTAAATTCAAAACTTTTTCCTATTTTTTAAATATACATTTCCCAATATTACACTATTCAAAAATACATTCTTATGAAAATAATGTGGTCTCAACAAGGGCACGATAAAATTTTACATGGATGAAAAATTATAAAGAACGAAGGATTTTGCTACTTGTACATAAAAATTGTATATAATGGATTGTATAAAATGTTATGGAGGGAAAAATTGGATGAAAATTTAACTGTGTTTTAAATTGACAAATAATATAATGACATATGGTATTAAAAATTTGATTTACATATAACAATGACAAAGAAAGAAAGGTGGGATTCGAATTTCCTCTTATACAAAAAAGCTCACGTGCCAGTAGACCCCCCACACGTGCGCCAGGGAACCGAAAGGAAAGGAAAGGAATCGACTACCTGTCAATGGGGCCCAATCCAGGAAGATGCCGACATGGATCCATGAATGCGGTTGGGTCCCATTTTGAAAGGCGTGATGCCCTCTGATTTCATAGATCTCGATATGTGAACCATTACTAATATGCTACGTGGCGTTCGATTGCTCTCTTAAAAATCAATTCTCCACCGCCATCACCGAAGATTTATCCAATCAAGCCGACAGTGCTGGTCCCACAAGTACATGATTCCACGTTCTCCACGTGGAATGTCTTCATTGGATGTTATAATATTGAACATTCTTGGCATTCACGTTTGGCACTAGAAATCATTCGCCTTCCCATGTCATTTTTGGAATAAATTTTGTGAAAAATATTTCAATGTGTATAAAAAGTAAAAAAATTATATAATAACGTGTAAGATTATATTATTGAAAAACTATATGATTAAAAATGAATTCAAAAAAATGAATTTTAGAAAATTAGGCCAACCGTGGTTATAAAATTGTTATGCTCTATATGGTACCCAAAAAAAAAAAAAATAATAATAATAATAAAATCTCGTTAACTCGTAGGCTTTTAAAGAAAAGGTTCCTGCTATTGATAATTCGAATTCGTCAAAGTTGAAGATTACTTGTGTGATGAGAAAGAACAAAACTTATTCTTTTTATGTACTGTATATGTGAAAATAATTTATTCTCTTCTGGAACGGATGAAATATTCAAATTTGAATTCATTTAATTTTAGATTGGAGTAAGAAATTGAGAAATAAGTTGTAAGGTTATATGGTAAACAAAAGTTTTGCAATTTTGAATTTCACTATTTATTCTTCACCTATAAGACGCTAAATCTTCGCTAAATCTTAGGTTAAATTATAGTGATCCCAAAAATATAATATTAAAAAGGAAAAACAATTAAAATTCATTCAGTATATTACAAATATTTTATGTCAAGTTTGTCCATGAACCAAATAGATCCTAGATTTAGCATTTGGTGTCGATAATTAATTTTAATCGTCCACAATTTTCAACCAGATATTTCATTAATTTATTTTATCAAAATTTATTTTTAAGCCCCACTAGTTATGGGCTAAATACCCAACTTTATCTAATGAAACTTTTCAAAACCAAGGGGTGAGTAGAATTTTATTCGCACACAACTTACACAAGGTTTTGATAATCTCCAATTTTTTTATTTTTTTTTTGTGGAAAATAAATTAAATAATGGAAGCGTAAGTTACCCTTCAAAGAAGTTGATAGGTTAAAAGTCTTTTGGACTGCTTTCGAAAATAAATTATCTTAATCGTGTAATTACCGTGTCCCTGTTGCTATAAAAGCCTCACCACTTTGCATTTATCAAACCATTCGTTCCTTTTCTCACATAATCATCATTACACACATTTTCTTCAAACAAACATTTCTTACTGTTTCTTGCAAAATCAGATTTTTCGGGAAATATGGCGGAGGAGGTGAAAAAATACCATCAGCACGTTGACGAGCCTTGTGTTCAGGACACAACCGCCGTCAAAGTGGCGGAGGAGGGACCCGTGGAGGTGAAGGACCGTGGGTTGTTTGATTTCATGGGGAAGAAGGAGAAAGAGGAAGAGAAGAAGGTCAAGGAGGAAGTACTTGTGACTGAGTTTGAACAGAAGGCGCAGGTCTGTGAACCGGGGCACAAGGAAGAAGAAAAAGAAGAGAAGAAGCATGAGAGTATACTCGAAAAGCTTCACAGAACTGGCAGCTCTAGTAGTTCAGTAAGTTTTTGTTCTTCCTTTTAAACGTTTAAACTGTTACAGATACGGACCAAAAGGTACTGACAATATTTTGTATTTTCTTGATGGTTATGCAGTCAAGTGATGAGGAAGAAGTGGAAGAAGGAGGAGTGAAGATCAAGAAGAAGAAAAAGAAGGGTTTGAAGGGGAAGGTTTCTGGAGAGCACAAGGAAGAATATAAGGCTGAGGAAATTTCTGTTCCAGCAGAAAAATATGAAGAATCAGAAGAGAAAAAAGGGTTTTTAGACAAAATCAAGGAGAAGCTTCCCGGTGGCCACAAGAAGGCTGAGGAAGTTTCTGCACCACCCCCACTACCACCATATCAGGCCACCGAGTGTGCCACCCCTGACGTTGAGGCAAAGGAGAAAAAGGGGTTCTTGGATAAGATCAAGGAGAAGCTCCCTGGGTACCACCCCAAGACTGAGGAAGAGAAGGAAAAGGAAAAGGAAAAGGAAAAAGAAAAAGAAAAAGAAAAGGAAAAGGAGGGTGCATGCCACTAAGAAAGCAAATGTTATAATTCTCTCTTTTGAGTGTCTTTGATTTCTTCTTTGGTTGTTTTTTCTTTTTTCCTTTTATTTTTTAATTTGGGTGATAAATGTTTACTGTATATACGAGTGCATTTCTGTGCTTATCTATGTGTGTGAAATGAAAAGCTTGTTTAAGGTTTGTTTTATGATCATCATAAACTCCTGCTGTTGGGTTCTCGTGTTCATAATTTCATTATGCAAGTTGCACAATATTGTGAAGGAATCGATTAATTTCTTTGTTATAATGCTATTCTACGGTCTAATCATTTCGATTTGATAAATATTCTTTTATGTATACTGATTGAGTTGTATGGCCCACCTTGGGTAAATAATTGTCGTTGATATTGAATATTTTTCTAAAATGTTAATCAAAAGATTTTGATTAGTGTATAAGATGATGATGTGTGGTATTGAAGCGAAAGATTGATAATAAAATTATGGATTTATTCTTGAATCTTTGTTTTATTATAGATATTTATCTTTTCATGGACCATTTTTGATCAACTGAGATGTTTAAGCTCAAGGTAGGAGTGCTTGATGCGTTTGAAGGCTAGAAATCAAACTTCAAGAAAGTGACCAGCCTAAATTTAGAATTATAAATTTGAATATATCTCTCAACTATTGGATCCTAATAAAAAATTAAAAATTTTAGTTGGGGCAATAAGTTATCGCATGTGTTGAAATATGGATGGAGTCGTGAGGTAAATTTTTCGGCCCTGCTAATGTGACAGAGGCTGGTCGACGCCTCCCCATGGGAGCACCAAATTGGCGCCTGTCATAGAGCCTATCACGGTCTTTGTTTGTATAGAATTATCCTAAATTTTTTTAATTGAAGATCCCATAAAAATATATAATGCACACACTTTTTAGAACAAGTTATTAGAGCCAGCTCACCAACAACAATCAATGGCAATCAACACAAAGAAATTTTCTTTTATAGTTATTTTCATATCATAGTTCTTACCATGTATAGATTGGATTCTCACCTATAAATTTATACAAAATCATTGTAACACATATGGAGGAAATAATTTAATCTTTAATTCTTCCCTAAATCATACCTGTGTGTATCGACTTTTATTATGGTATCAGAGCAACCTCCTTCCTGCGGCCTCCTCTGATTTCTCTGACCTTCGAAACCAACTACCGCCATATCTGATTTGACATCATTGACACCTTCACAATTGATCAACGACCTCACATCCCCATATTTTTTAACACCTGCTGATAACTCTGGTGCTGTGCTCGTCCCCAATCTTCTCACTGGAGAAAACTATGCAGCCTGGAAACGCTCGATGCGTATGGCCCTTAATGCCAAGAACAAACTCGTCTTTGTCGATGGAATTCTAAAGCAACCATCCGATGCTAACATTGCCAACCTTTGGGATCGATGCAGTGATATGGTTCTCTCTTGGCTCTTAAATTCCATCGATAGGCGCCTTAGACAAAGTTTGATCTACTGCACAAAACCTTCTGATGTATGGATTGATCCGGACAACCGATTCTCTCAAAGCAATCACCCCCGTCTCGACCGCCTCCAACGTGATTTGGCTAACCTCAAACAAAACGCCATGTCCATCACCACATACTACAATACAATTAAAGGAATCTGGGATGAGATCAATGCACTAACCGATGCCAACTCCTGCACTTGTGATGCTCGCAAAAAGGCCGAAGACACAGCTAGTACCGAACGACTCTTTCAATTCCTTATGGGCCTCAATGAATCATTCTCCAACATTCGAAGCCAAATTCTCGCCATGGACCCCCTGCCCACAATCTCCAGAGCATATGCCACCATACACCAAGAAGAGACACAGTGCCTCCTACAAATTCCATTGTTACCCAATCCCGAAAACTCGGCCATGGCTGTCTCACGCAACAATTTTTCGGTCAATCACAGCTTCCATTCTCGCAACAGTAGAAAATGCACAAAGTGTGGGAAAGATGGACATCAAGAAGCCTCCTGCTTTGAAATCATTGGCTATCCCTCCTATTGGAACACCAATAAGCCTAGGCAGCCCTTGCGATCCGCATCTGTCAAAAATCGACCACAGGATTCAGGCAGTAATCGGCCACCAACAGCGAACATGGTGTCCCGTACCTCAGCCCCTTCCACGTCGAGTGCAATCCCTGGCTTATCTCATGAGCATTATCGGCAATTGATGGAAATGTTGGAACCCAGCACCGTTGCACACTCAGCCTTCTCTGGTATCTCTCTATGACCTCCCCAAATCGCCCCAGGTCCCTGGATTATAGATAGTGGGGCTTCGACCCACATTTCTTGTGTTTCTAACTTACCCAAAGCCTCACATGTTTGGGCCCATAGTCAATCCCTTACATTACCCATAGGCTTCAAGGCCCAAGTCACACATATGGGCCACATTCATATTTCTCCCCATTTATGTCTACATAATGTTCTTTTTGTTCCCGATTTTAAATATAATTTAAACTCCGTAAGTCAACTCACAAAATCGTCTAATTGTGTAATCATATTTTCCTCTTCTATTTGTTTATTTCAGGACCTACGCACGAGGAAGCTGATTGGGATGGGTGAAGAACGTGAGGGTCTTTACCATTTTAAACCGTTTAATCATGTTGCATTTCAACTCACAGTGAATCCTGCAGCCACACCGAACCTATGACATCTTCGTTTAGGTCATCCTTCAAATTCTTGTATTCCAAAAATTTTATGTGATTCAAATAATGTTAGAAATTGTGATAGTTGTGTTCGCGGTAAACATACGCGTCTTCCCTTCAAACTGGTCGAAAATAAAAGTACTTTTACCTTTAACCGAATTTATTGTGATATTTGGGACGGATATTCCACACCCTCTACAACTGGTTCACACTATTTTCTCACAATTGTTGACGACTTTTCACGTGTTACTTGGGTATATCTCATGCGTTTTAATTCTGATACATTTACTTGCCTAACCACGTTCATTAAAATGATCCACACGCAGTTTAATTGCCCTATCAAATATATTAGGTCTGATAATGATTAAGAATTTCTTTCTCATCGTATGCAACAGTTCTTCCTTGACCATGGGATCATTCATGAGCGCACTTGTGTTGAAACACCCCAACAAAGTGGTGTAGCAGAACGAAAACATCGTCACCTGCTAAATGTAGCTCGATGTCTTCGCTTTCATGCACATTTACCTATTACCTTTTGGGATGAATGCATACTTACTGCCACTTATCTGATTAATTGCATACCAACTCCCACGCTTGGTCACAAAGCGCCTTATGAACTCCTTTTCAACAAACCTCTTACCTATGATCACCTCCGTGTCTTTGGATGTCTTTGTTATGCACACACTTTAAGTGTCCACCGGGACAAGTTCTCTCTTCGTAGCATACCATGCATATTCTTAGGCTACTCTCAAACTCCACATACCTATCGTGTTTATGACTTGCAAACCAAGAAAATTTTCCTCTCTCGTGATGTCTACTTTGTAGAATCTACCTTTCCCTTCGCTCCTACCATGCAACCTTCTCACACATCATCAAATACCAATCAACCCCTTGATGTCCCTTACAGTATCCCATCTCCAACCCACGACACCCCTGACTCATCTCCTTCATCCATGCCAGACATGGAACCAACTATACCAACACCACAAGTTGTTGATGGACCTACCAACTCCCTTGAAATCGTCACCAGCTCAACCCCACCAACTAGACCTCGACGTACGATCACTCGTCCCACATATCTTCAAGACTACATTTGCTCAGATTTATCTCCAAAGGGACCACGTTCATCATCTCATTCCCAATCTTTCTCAGGTACGGTTCACTCTCTACCTAATTTTCTTTCTTATCATTTCTTTAGTCCAAAACATTTTGCTTTCCTCTCTTCTATCTCCAAAAATGTTCAAGACCCCGTGCTTTACTCTCAAGCTATTCTTGAGCCGCATTGGCAACATGCAATGGCTTCTGAAATTCAAGCCCTTGAAACCAATCACACATGGACCCTTGAACATCTTCTCCCTGGTAAGAAGACAATTGGTTGCAAATGGGTTTATAAAACAAAATTGCATGCCGATGGTTCCATTGAACGCCATAAAGCTCGTTTGGTTGCCAAGGGTTTCACTCAGGTTGAAGGTCTTGACTATAATGACACTTTTGCTCCTGTGGCTAAACTTGTTACTGTTCGATGTCTCCTTGCTATAGCTGCAGCTAAACACTGGATTCTTCAACAATTGGATGTTCACAATGCTTTCCTCCATGGTGATCTTGATGAGGAAGTGTATATGCGCCCACCACCAGGATATTGTCGTAAAGGGGAGACTCGCGTTTGCCGTCTCCACAAATCATTATATGGTCTCAAACAAGCCTCACGTCAGTGGTATTCAAAATTATCCCATGTTCTCATCCTTGCAGGTTTTGATCAATCTGCTGCTGATCATAGTCTCTTCACCAAAACTAAAGGTACAACCTTTATTGACGTTCTTGTCTATGTTGATGGTATCATTGTTGCTGGTAATGACAGCTCTGCCATCAGTTCTATCAAACGGCATCTTGCACAGACCTTCAAAATCAAAGATCTTGGTGATCTCAAATATTTCCGAAGGATTGAAGTTGCTCGATCTCCTAAAGGCATCTTTATCAATCAAAGGAAATATACCTTGGACATTCTTACTGATTCAGGGCAACTTGGCTCTCGCCCGGCATATTTTCCCATAGAACAACATTGCAAACTTAATGACTCAGATAGTGATCTTTTGAACAATCCTAGCTCATATCGACGCTTGATTGGTCATTTGATTTATTTGACCATCTCTCGTCCGGATATTACCTTTGCAGTCAACATTTTGAGTCAGTTTATGCACACTCCTCGCCAGCCTCACCAACATGCTGCTATCTGCTTGCTCCGCTATCTGAAAACTACACCTAGTTATGGACTCTTCTTTCCATCCAACTGCAATCTTCAAATATCCGCTTTTTGTGGCTCTGATTGGGCAAGTTGCCCACTCACACGACGCTTCACAACTGGTTTCATCATCAAATTGGGCGATAGCCCCATCTCTTGGTGCACCAAGAAACGAACAACTGTTTCTCGCTCTTCAGCTGAAGCTGAATATCGTGCGATGGCCACTACAACTTGTGAACTTATTTGGCTTCGCCTCTTTCTAAAGGAACTTGCTTTGCCGCATTCACAACCTATTCTGTTTCACT